TTGAGGAAACACCAAACTGCCTTCCACAGTGGTTGTACTTTTATACAATTCCAACAACATTGTATAAGATTCATTGCCACATTCTCTTCAAATTTTATTGCTTGCTGTCCTCTTAAAACTTTGCCACTGCTACTGGAATGAGATGATATATCATTGTTGTTTTTACTTGCATGGCTCTTATTGTCAGTGATCTGGAGCGTTTCTTAGTATGTCTGTTGGCCATTCTAATATCTTCCTCTATGAAAATTATTTCCACGTCTTTTGCCCATATTTTGGGTTATCACTTTTTCTTGTGAAGGCCCAGGAGTATTCTGTAAACTTTCGTTATGAGACTTTTGTCTGAGGTGTTATGGCCAAATGCTTGTACCAGTCATTAGGTATTCTTTTACCCTGTTAGAGGAAGTTTTTTATGCTCACAGAGATTTAATCTTTAGAGGGTCCCATTCATAGTTTTCTCTTAAGACTGTGCATTGGCTGTATTTGGCAATCCCTTTATACCATAGACCTTTTATGCTTGATTTCAGTTTGTCTCTTACGAACTTTATAATTTGGGTCTTAACTCCAAGTCTCTGATTCATCTTGTGTTGATTTTTGTGTGTGGTGTGAGATGTGGATGTGTAGCAGGGGAGGATTAATTATGTGGTCACAAAAATTGATGGGTGGAGGGCAGGTTGGGAAATTGAAAAGGTATGGTGTGAAAAACAATGTCTTAAATTTTGTAAATAAACCAGCAAAAAAAAAAAGCCTTAAAATATAATGTATATGAATGATTGTATGAAACACAAAGTAAATGCAAGAGTTTATAAAACACAATGTATATGAATGAAACATATGGTAAAGGTATCATTATATGAAATTCAATAAAAATATTAAACAAAACAAACGACCAATAGAGGGCAGAGTTGAAAAAAACCCAAAACCCATTTGTTGGACAGTTTATGAAAAGGATTGCAGAAGTCTTACCTAGTTGAACTTCCATAGGTAGGAAGGTTTGTGTGAATAAGGGAAGTTGTTGTTGTTGTTAGGTGCCTTCGAGTACCTTACAAGTCATGTTGTTCTTTTTGTTGTTGTGTACCTTCAAGTCACCTGTGACTCATAGTGACCCTATACACAACAGCTCTGAAGCCTGCCCTATCCTTAGACAGTCTCATGGACTTGGGCACACCTACCCCCATTACCACAGTCACTGTGTTAGTTCATATCATCCTGGATCTTCCTCTACTATGCTGTTTTTCCACCCTTCTGCACATGATGTCCTTCTCCAAGGGCCAGTCCCTCCTGGCCAAGTACCCAAAGTATGTGAGATTGAGTTTCAAAATTCTAGCCTCCAAGGAAAAACTTGGTTTCATCCTTTCCAAGACAGAACTGATTGTTCTTGGCAGTCCATAGGATATTCAATACTCCAGGACTACAACTCAAAGGCATCAATTTTTCTTTGATCCTCCTTAGTCATTGTTCAGCTCCCAGATGCAAACAAGTAATTGAGAAGACCATGGCCTGGATCAGGTGCACCTTAGTCTCTAGACTGATATTGTTGGTTCTCAGTACTCTAGAGAGGGCCCTGACAGCAGATTTTCCTAGTGTAATTTTCTTTTGATTTCTGACGGCTGGATCCAAGAGCGTTGAATGTGGATCCAAGCCAGCTGTAATTATTAACAATCTCAATCTCTTCTTCATCTATCGTGGTGCTACCTATTAGCACAGTGGTGAAAATCTTTGTTTTATTGATATTCACCTTCAATCAATACAGAAGACTGCAGTCCTTGATTTTCTGCAGCAAACATTTCAGTTTCTCCTCAGTTTCAACAAGCACAAGGTTGTGTCATTTGTGTAATGCAGGTTGTTTATGGGCCCTCCTCTAATCAGGATGCCACATTCCTCCTTATAAAGCCTAGCCCCCTAAATGATCTGTCCACATATTGATTGAAAAGGAATGGAGACAAGACTTATCCCTGACTCTCTTGCTTCCTAATTTTTGAACCAAACTGTTTTTTCTTTCCTTGCTCAGTTTTAAGACTGCTTCCTGGTTCGAGTATAGTTTTAGCATGAGTACAATCAAGTGTTTTGGGATTCCCACTACCTCAAAGTTAGCCAAAATTGTTGTGATTCATATACTCAAATCCCTTTGCATAATCAATGAAACACAGATAGACATTCCTCTGGTTCTCTTCGTTTTCAGTCATTAGCAATAATGTCTCTAGTGCTAAAACCTCTCCTAAACCCACATTGAATTTCTAGTAGTTTCTCTCGATACACTGTTCCAGTAGTTTTTTAATAAGGTTCAGCAAGATTTTGCTTGAGTGTAATATTAGTAATATTGTTTGATAATTTTAACAATCTGTCAGGTCACCTTTTTTTGGAATGGGAACAAGTACTGATATTTTCCAGTTATTTGCAGATAGTTGTCCTCCAGATTTCTTGCACAACCTGGTGAGCATGTCCAGTGCAGCAATTGTCTGTTCAAATATGACCATTGGTATTCCATCAATTCTTGGGGCCTTGTTTATTACCTATTCCTTCAGAACAGCCTCTTGGCCATATGTTGTTTCATGTATTTTTTTCTGTGTCAGCCAATTCTTTTTGATAATGTGATTCTGTACTCCTTTCATCTCCTTTTAATGCTTACTGGATTAGTCAAAATTCTGTCCATGGTGGTTGGGTTGTGTACTGTAAAGTCAGATCTGTCCTTCCTATAGCTGACTTTCTGACGAGTTTTCAGAGAAAGTTAGTTAATTGCACACAGGAGGGGGCTGGGGGGGGGCAAGAGAACGTTGCCCATATTCCTCCCAAATAGTGGTGATGGCCTTGAACTGCATGCCTTTAAGATTGCAGTGCAGCTTCTTGCCAAAAGACCAGGAGAGCTCTGCCCATAGCATCCTTAAGTATTTCAGCATGAGGTTTGAATTTGTTCTTTGGTCTCCAGCTTAAGAAATGCCAAGTGATTTAGGCCCTTTTGATTTTTAGGACTCCAGCTCTTTGCACATTTCATGTAATATTTTGCTTTGCTTTCCTGAGCTGCCCTTTGAAATCTGTTCAGCTCCTTAACTTCTTGGTTTCCTCCCTTTGTTTTGCTTTCTTGGCACTCTAATGCAATATTAGTGTTTCTTCTCACATCCATCTTTGGTTTTTTTAATTCATCCTCAATCTTTGTAATAACCTTTTGAATTCTATGTGGATGATATTCCTGATATCTTCCCACAACTCATCTGATAGTCATTCAGTAGTGTTCAAGGCCTCAAATCAGTTCCTGAGATGATTTTTAAATTCAATTTGGATAGACTGAAGGCCAAATTTTTGCTTCTGTGGATTTGGTTTAACTTCTCTAACTTTAATCTTAACTTCTATATGAGTAGTGAATTGTTCCACAATCAACACCTAACCACACTGCTGATACTGAGCTTCTCCAATGATTCTATACACAGATGTAATTGATCTGATCCCTGTTCACACCATCAGGGGAAATTTATGTGTATAGCCTACATTTATGTTTCTTATAAAAAGTATTTACAATGAATAAATCATTGGTGTTTAGAACTCTATCAGTCTGTCACCAGCCTCATTTCTGTCACCAAGTCCATATTTTCCAGCTACTGATCCTTCTTCCCTGTTCCCAATTTTTGACTTCCAGTCACTCATTACTATTAATGCATCTTAATTGCATGTTCGATTGGTTTCTGAATAGAAAGTTGGTAGAACTCTTCTATTTCCTCCTCTTTGGCTCCGGTTATTAATGCCTATATTTGAATTAAAGTAGTGCTCACTGGATTTCCTTGTATGTGTATGGATATTATCCCATTACATACCACATTGTATTTCATAATGGATCTAGAAATGACTTTTTAACTATGGAAGCAGCCCCATTTCTCACCACCTTTTCATCTCCAGCATAGTAGATCATATGATTATTCGATTCAATTTGTCCCATGAAGATTCATCTCATTTTGCCAATATCTAATATGCCACTATTTATCAGTTTCATTTCTTAACAATGTCCACTTTTCCTACATTCATGCTTCTCACATTCCATGATCCAATCACTAGTGTCTGCTCAAAACTCTTCCTCCTCCTTTGTGTTTCCATAGTTGAGGGCTCAGCCTCACTTGCATATCTGCTAGTCTACTCCAAGTGTGCTCTAGTGTACACAGAGTTTTTGAAGGCCTGCTATTTCTGATGGGTATGGTCAATTCTTTTCTCTAGTCTGTCTTAATTTGCATGCTCAACTTTAGAACTGTATCTGACAGATAAGGATATTATAGAAAGAAGCAGGTGAAGGATATTTCCTAATTATAGCAGTAACCGATGTAATCAGTCTTGGTCTTCCAGTCTTGGCACATCCCTTTCCCTGCTCCACCAGCATCCCCTTCCATTTCTACCTACTGCATTCAAAACACTTCTGTCCCCTTATCCATGTCTTGATTTGATGGCTTAGGTCTCAAGCCTTCTGTGCTTCTGTGATGCCTAACTTCTCACTTTGTTGCTTGTCTCTTACACTGTGGCCCCTCTCTCTTAAGTTTAGGAGTTTCTAAGTAAGATAATATTAAGTAAAGATACAGAATTGTTTATATTACTACAGGTCTGACATAGGCTTTAGTTTTTCATGTTAATCATGTAAGTTATTATTAAAACACAGAACACGAATGTTTTTTCTTTTTTTTATTATTTTCAAATAAGAACCAAAGAAAGCTTCACATAATATGTTGAAAATTTTGAGAAGAGGGAGCTGATTGATTGAAGAAGGCACTGAATTTAGTGCCTGAAATTCCTTGCCAAGGATGTTTTACAAACATGCCACATACTTTTATGATTTTACTATGATAATTTTCAGCATGAGGCACTGGTCTCTTAGATTATAATGGAATTATTTAATTTAATGCATATACTAATAAAGGAACAAAACCAACATAATAATTTAAAATGAAAATGAGAATAATAATAATGCAAAATTCATTTAATACATGTATTTTGATTATATAGTTGCATTTTCAACCTTAAGTTGAGGATCATATACATTGAGGATACTTCACCTTCCCTTCCTGACATGTTACTCTGAAAGTGTCTCCGTTTTTTTTCTTATATCCTGGTTTACAGATAAATTCTGTAATATCAGCTGCCCTGGAATAAAATTTGTTGTGATTTATCCATCTTAACTGTATGTTATGTTTTTCCATCTCTTCTGGTGATATTACACAGTCATCTGAAAGTAGAAAAACAAACATGAAATATTATTTGTAACAAAAATTTTGTTTTCATAGTAGGTGTAATAACATAAGGTCTTACAGAAGGTGGGAGAGAAATGCAAAACAAAACTCCAAATCATGACAATTTCCAGATGTAGTGATCTGACATCACATGGTGGAAACCCAGAGAATATAGTATTCATCTGCTCTTTGATCCTGGAATTGAATTTAGTCCTGTACCATATCTTGTTGTGAAACAGTAGAAAGATCCATAAGGAGAACTATAACACCAGGGAGGTACTTGGTCCTTAGAAAAACAAACCACAGAGGATATCAAAGGCAACCTATGTTGAAGCATAAAACCCAGAAGGTAGGAAGAGAGAAGTTGGAATGATGAATGAAAATAAGAATTACAGAGAGATAGTGGAAAGAGTGATGCTAGGACTGTAACAAATGCCATTAAACAAGGTATATATGAAGGAGGAAAGGAATGCCAATCTGCTCTGTAAACTCTTGCTCTAATCATAAGCATGTGAATACTCTAATGTTTTCTTGCATACAAACATACATAGTTTCATAGATTTTTCCATTTCAAACACAAAGCCTCCTGATGGCTTAAATCATCCTTTTAAAATCTTCCCCAATTCTTCCTTCGTAGATGGAAAATTTTACTATTTTTCTGTTATTTCATACATTGTAATGAATAATTAAATATGGTCGAAATGGTAAATTTAAGTAATCTGACCCATTTTCACCAAATTGATTTTTACATATCAAGTAGATTCCATCTTCATATGTCACAGTACAGAATTACTTATAATGTTTTGAAACAGATCATTAGACCTTTCTACCTAAAAACTGCTTAGTGAATTTAAGTCATCTGATTTAGCTTATCAGACCACTGAAAATAATTATTTACCACACAAAGATATTTATACTGGTAATGATGGAAAAGTTAAATACTAAACTTAATGTGTCAAAATGAGATGATATAATTGGAGAATCAGAGCATAAATTATTATCTTAAGAGTTTTACATTAGCAGACTTGAGAAGAGGAGAAGAGTTCTGGACTGTATTTCTCAGAGTCCCTGAATTCCTTGAAATGTTCCCAGCTCACACAGGGAGTTTATATGCAAAGGGGAGCCCTCTCTTCCAGCCTTGGGGAGAACACAGGTACATTTCTGGCAGGGATAACTATTGAGTAGAAACCCTGTGAGTTGGGGGAAAAGGGGTAGCTGGCAGGATTACTAAGAAGTGCCAGGCTCAACTCAGAGATATTGTCTTCTTAAGGTTGAAATATCAACCTCACAAGAAAACAGCAGGCAATATAAAACAAAACATTATGAAAAACAAAAATACCCTTTTCATAAATAAAACCAGACCAGATTAAGGACCCAACCAATATCCTAGAAGGCAGAACAAATTGGCTGATATGCAGTTTCAAGAATTGGTATTGAAAAAGTTACAAGAGGGAGAAAGAGTTGAAGTCATAAGTAAACAGTAATAAGAAAGGGGGAACTTACCATAAGTCAGAAGATAAAACCAATACAGTAGTAGAAACAACAGGAACACATGTAAGTACAACCCAAAATATAAAACTGAAATGGCAGATATTTTCAATATACGATGGAGGGAGAAGAGAAAAGCAGAATAGAAGAGGTGGAATAGAGATTAAGTGAGTTAGAAGACATGAACCTCAATGAGAACTTAAAAGAGAAAAAAAATGAGACGAGTGAAGGAATATAGAAAACAAAAATAAAAACCCACATTAGAACCCTGTAGGTTAGCATCAAACAAAAAAAAAGGATGTGTGACTGAATTGCAGAACAGGAAAATAAACAAAACAAAACAAACAAACAAACAAACACACATGGAAAAACTTGTGCAGATAAAAACAGGGTAGCACACATAAATACCCGAAGCTGAGCAAATGACAAATTGTACACCACTTATTAAAAATATTATCAAAGCAAATCATTTTGAAAGTTTCCAAAATGAAAACAAGGATAGATGTTGTTGTTGTTGTTGTTGTTGTTATGTGCCGTCGAGTCGCCTGCGACTCATAGCGACCCTATGTACAACAGCCCTAAACTACGTTCTGTCCTGTGCCAATCGCACTGTCTCTGACACTCCCATCCCAATTATCCCAGTCACTGAATCAATCCACCTCATAAAGGGCCTTCCTCTCCTGCGTTGTCCCTCCACCCTCCCAAGCATGATGTCCCCCTCTAATGACCGGTCTCTCCTCACAACATGTCCAAAGTATGTTAGACGGAGCCTCAGAATC